GTTAATTTAACATATTGTTGTGTTAATATTGTTAAAACGTCTGAAAAAAAGATGTAAAAATAACACAATGTACATTTATTTTTAATTTTACACAATAAATACGTTCTGTTTCATAAGTGACAAGATTACCTGTTAAATTTGCAGAAAAAAAGTTAATTTTTTAATTTTATAATATAAATAAGGATAATTTAAAATCAACATATTTTTATTTAATTTTTACATTAAAATTATGTCAATTTTATACAAAATTTATTTTAAATTACTTTAAGTTTTGCATTTATTTTTTGTGAAAATATTTACACAATATTTGTGTCTTCATTTAACATATCCATATTATGTTAAATTAACACAAACTGTGGATGAATGCTCTAATTCTATAGTAAAGAATCTTTTATTATAGCCATAATAAATAGTTAAATAAAAATAATATTAATCGATAAAAAAAAACAGTCAGCATCCCTTTGATGTGGAGAGATGATCGTGAAAGATAATTTAATCCCGTTAAAGAGAGCTAGAGACAATTTGTCGACACTTATATTCTCTTTTAGGTTTATCTTACAGAGACCACCGTGATAGTTTATTTATTTAGAATGTACGTTAACTGAGTTTGACGATGTGCGAATGGATGGATGTATTATTCTGACTGCGAGGTATGTAGTTATACGAAAATAGCTCTTAGCTATTACAAGAGAAGATGAATAAACTAGAATCCCCCTTGCATACACAAACGTGGTGCAAACATTTTTTTTATTTTTCGATTTCAATCGCAAATTTATCATATTTGCGAATCTGCAATTTCGATTGCGCGTGAGATTTGATTTCAAAAAATCTATAATCTAGATAAACATGTTTGGAAGAAAATGAAATTTTTTTTCACTCGAATCTGTATTAATTTAAATATTGATCCCTGGTTTTCGCCATATATTGACTTATCGTTTTATTAAATTCACGGTTTTCTCTCTCTCTCTCTCTCTCTCATAATTGAATCGATGATATCGCGCGATATTGTCACGTTCCGAGCGAATTCATCGCATTCACGCGGAATCCGACGTATTCGGTAAACAGAGATAGCCCGATTTCAATGACATTACGACAGGTATGCGAAATTGAGGATCTGTCTTGTCTCCTAATATTAAACGGATCGCGCGTACAAATGACAATAAGCTACAATGTTATCGCGCGAGATAATCCGCGCTATCGATACGAAATAAAGCCAAGAGAAAGAGCGAAGGGATAATACCGTACAATTATCGTTTGTTCGCGCGTTGATAAAATTTATCACGTTCCCGCATATATGTGGCGGCGATATAATTTCCGGGACCAGCGTTTAATCCGATTCTATCCGCGGCCCGGACAGAAGAGGAAGAGAGAGAGAGAGGGTGGACCACCCCCATCTCTATCTACCCTAACAAGCTACCGTGTAATCTCAAGATAGAGCTCGGAGTAGTATCCGGAGAGATTGCGTACGGCTCCCGAACTTCATGAATTATTTAGCGCCGACCGCACTGTAGCACGGCGCGAAACACATGTGATCCCTCTCTCTCTCTAGGTATGCGTTGCCGCCGTTTAAGCCGCCCGTATGGACTTGATTTTCATAATTATGACATTTACATTTGCAATGTATTATTCGAATCAAGCTGAATGAATTTGCCGTATTTCACTTTCACGCTGCGTATTATCGGATATATGCGCATTGACCTTTCTCGGCGAATTTAGCATCGAGATATATGAGAAATTTTTCCTAAAATTAACAGATTCGAATTTTATTGCCGCGATAAAATTGTTACGTGATGAATTAAAAATATATGTATATATGATAATAAAATATCAAATTATATAAATAAAATATAAATAAATAAAAATATAATATAAATGATACTGCAATGGCGAAAAAGTTTTTAATGACAGATTCCTGGTATCCTTTGATGACGATTTTTCCTCAGCGAAAATGTCGAGGGAGACCATCATTTTTTGTATGTTTTCAATTTTTGCCATTATATATTTTTGTAATTAAGCTTTAAATGAAAATTTTATTAAAGTAAACTCTATATGAAATTAACTGAAAAATGTGGTTTTCGTTAATATTTTTTAGTTTGAAAAAAAGTTTTATTTTCAACCGCATATAACTCGAAAATTATTGGTGCCTCGACATTTTTGCTGAGGAAAAATCGTCTTCAAATAATATCAGAAATCTACCATTCAAAATTTTCCACCAGTTCTAAAACACCCTGTATATTTTGCCGAATCAATATTTGGTCATAAAAATTGGTACATACAATAATAGAGAAGAAAGAGCTCGCGTGGATCTCATTACTTTTTATTTTGTAAACTTTGGTTTTTCTCTCTTTTTTTTTTTAATATTTACATGACAGCTGGCATCGTAAAAATTGATATTCACCAGAATGAAATATAAATTTCGCACTTGAGCGCGATTTAAACCGCGGTATCTCACCCAAACCAGGTAGCGAACGCGAAAGCTTTCAGATAGAACTTTAATGTAAGCATACCGTTAATAATTAAGTAACGTAATGTTTTGTACGATGGCAGTTAAGAATATAATGCCGCTTTCCAACTGCATTCACGAGCCAAACTTTACTTTAACGCATGATTACAATTTTTTTAATTTTTTACTCTTTGCTTTCTTAATTTTTTAAATTGGATTTTTTTCTTTTCATTTTTTTATATTAAATATGCAAATAAATTCCATTCTTATTTTTTGTTCTTTCTTATATAATTTTTAATTTAATTTTTTATTACTTTTATTTTTTTATATTAAATATGCAAATAAATTCCATTCTTATTTTTTGTTCTTCCTGATATAATTTTTTAAATTTAATTTTTTGATTATTTCATTTTTTATATTAAATATGCAAATAAATTCCATTCTTATTTTTTGTTCTTCCTGATATAATTTTTTTAATTTAATTTTTTGATTATTTTTATTTTTAATATTAAATATGCAAATAAATTCCAGTGTTTATTCAAAAGAAAAGCAAATACTTAATTTTTTTACTGATTTCAAGGTAAAAGGCAAATGCTCTCTCCCTCTGGACGGACATCCAGTAATATATCATCCTGATAAATACAAAAATAGATTCCCATATCATTACGACGAACCGGTCTACGTTTCGTTTTGCACATACTTATACATATGTGCTGAATGAACAGAGAATAACTCAGACATTCGGACGGGATCCGGATTTGCCTTCCTTTCCGTCTCCGAAGCTCAATCAATTCTTCCGACCCCGAATCCGTCCTCGACGCAGGTCAATGAGACAGATTTCCGGATAACTGGTCTCATAAATACTTCGTGTCTGGCGGACATTTGTCATATACGTAGGACAACCTTACGAAGCCTTATAACCGACCGACTTTGCTTTGCAGATGCGGTAAGATTTGCATGTGCCGGCATAAAGGAAGTACGGGGGATTGTCAGGGGAATGAATATAGGGGGTGGATGGGGGTTGCGAGCCGAGGGACACGAAGTATTATGTAAGCAGATGAATTTTAAAGCGACAGCATTGACGGACGACCGCGTCGCTCGTGAATGAAAAAGAAATAAGGAACGAATTTGCTCGTCGCCTTTCTGATCCTTCGAATGAAGTTAGTCCGAAGTTTCTCCCGATCTCTCTTTTCGACAAAAAAAATTTCTTCCTCCGAGGAAAATCAAATTCGAGGCATTTCCTACGGGAACATTTCGACGACGGATGAAAAGTTACGGGATAGTAGTAGTAATTCTAACCGAATTTTCGCTCTGGTAGGCCCTGGAGGTCCTTCGTTCCTCCAAGATAAACTGTGAGAAAAAGGAGGAAATTGCTGTTGTTCAATTTTAACACTTCGATTATATGAAACCAATTTCGGCTCCATTGTCTTTATGCCTCGCGATCTTCCCTTTTGCTTTTTTTGGAAGACAAATTCTTTACTATTTCTTTATTCAATTTTGCCACGAATCAAAGCTTAAGATAATTAATGGTCAAAAATATAAAAAAAGTAGCTCGATTCTACAAATACAAATATTTGCTATTTTTACGCTCCGCTTTATTCTAATTTATTTTACGCGATATATTATTTTTTAAATAATAAAATTAATTTAAACAATTGTTTTGTATAAATAAGTCGTACTCGCATCATATTGTCAATTTTATACTTTTTTCTTATTTTATTGGTTCATCAACGATATAATTTCATAAATGATAAGAAAATTTTTGGTTCTTTAATTTTAAACGATATTTGTGGAAATATTATAAGAATGCTCGCAAATTTACAACTCTGACTTGTGAATAAGCTGCAAGAAAATTTTTATAGAGCTTCGATTTTCGGTTGCATTATCTTTTCATCTCGCGATCTTCCTTTCTGCTTTTTTGAAAGAAAATTCTTTACTATCTTTTTATTCAATTTTTTCATCAATTTCGCAAATTCCACGAATCAAGCTTAAGATAATGGCCAAAAATCTATAAAAGTGGCTCGATTCTACAAATACAAATATTTGCTATTTTCACGCTCCGCTTTATTCTAATTTATGTTACGCAATATGTTATTTTTTCTAAATATTCGAAAACTATTTTCAGGACATTTTATATCCGATATGACTTTAATCTCTCGCTCGGTCCGCATTATACGAGATACGAGTTCGCGAGATACTTTTGACTCCGAAATAATTGTACGAAACAAATCTAGATTAACATTAGTTCCTTTCGCGTTGCTGCACGTTTACGACGTGTTTGCAACGGGGGATATACGATAATTAATCAGAGAAAGGATATCGGGGTCAGATTTCCCGCCCGATATACTTCGTCCATGTTGTACAGTTTCGACCTTCAATCTGAAACTGCGCAATTTTCCAACGGGATTAATGGGATCTGCGGATCGCGGTGGCCGCATAATGCGAGAAAGAATTATAATGAGCGCATTAAGGCGCCACTCTAAAATTATTAGTCCCATTTGAAAAGCGCGCGCGCGCGAAAGAGAGGAGTTTTGAATTTTTGATAATGCAATTACAGTGGCAGCAGGGTATAAACGGGATCTACGAGGTAGGATATGCGATATCTTTGGTGGCGCTGCTGCTTTCCTTAGGAATTCTCACGTACTTCCGGTAAGTTTGCAATTTATTGACGCTGTTATTATCCTTCTACACGTCCACGGAATATTGAAGTTTGTTTACGCGCGAGAACTTTGTACAGGGTGTCTAACGGTCAGGGAAATCTGGAAAACCGGGCATTGTCAGGGAATTTTATAAATCTGCAATTGTCAAGGAAAAAGTCAGGAAATTTTATTTTTATCTGCATTTTTTCATATTATTCTACATTTGTCTTAATCATTTGAAATTTTTTGTTAAATAAATGTAAACTTTTCCTTGACTCCCAGAACGCTAATTTTCTATGTTGTTAAAAATCAATTCATCAACGTGTTCGTTCATTTAGATTTTCATCGTGTTATTTTTTTATTTATTTCAATGTATTTAATAGAAATAAAACTAAGAAAATTTGATATAATATAAATAAAAAAGGTGATTATTTAAATAGTTTATAGTGGCATGTTTGTTTCGATTATCGTACATAATGCAGATTGTATAATTGATTTAAATTTTTGTTTTAAATTCCGAACTTTTTCATTGTTGACAAAAATATCTCAAGGATTTCATGATTTAACATTTAATTGATTTATTATATAGATATATGCAAATTATATGATTGGAAAAAATAATACTAAAAAATCAGGGAAAAAATTTCTGATCTTAGAAAATCTGAAAAAATCAGGGAATATTTTTCATTAAGTCTGCTGGACACCCTGTTGAAAACCCTTTGAAACGTATGTTGCCTTTCGAAATTAATCAACCGAAGGCAAATTAGAGTACTCGAAATAATGAAAGCTGCGTATAATTAAAAAGTTGCAAAACAGATTTTTTCATTTCTATATAATTATTCTCGGTACACGTTGATGGAATATTGAAGTTTGTTTACGCGCGAAAACTTTGAAATTTATCCTTTGAGATATGTGTTACACCTTTCGAATTTAATCAACCAAAGGCTAATTAGAGTCCTCGCGATAATGAAATCTTCTTATAATTAATAGATTGGAGGAAGGATTTTTTAAATCCTGCGCATAAGCAAAGCGCATTATTTGAAGATATTAAAAGTTCTTAAGGAGAGCGCCTACTTTAGAAGACTTAAAATAAGGTGTTTTTTGAGAATTTTTGCATAAAAACTGCATAGCGGATTATTTTAAAATTTTTAGGCATTTATTATTAAATATTTATAAGTACAAAAAGTTTTTTAGTTAAAAATATAGTTCTGTAGAGATCGCTCTATAAAATCTTCTTGCAATCTCACCAAATCTCTGAAATGAAATAACTAAAACTGTATTTGGAGATATGAGAATGTTTTCAAATTTGCAACTCCGACGGCGAAAAGATTCCTCAAAGGCGACTTTCACAGTCAACATTCTAACTAAAAAAAATGTTTATATTATTTATATTTGTATATTATTATTTTTAATATTTATTAATAAATACCTAAAAATTACGGAATAATTTGCTGTAAAGTTTTTCCAAAAAAATTCTGAAAAATCAATTTTCTTTTTTGGTTCTCCCCTTAATTTCTAGAATTAAGCGTTAAGAGGCACCGCATTAATTATTATATTATATTATAGATAAGTTTTACACATTTGCCCTCATCTGAGTTTCTGTTATGGAAATACTACAGTCTTAAACTGGTGCTTCTATTCGAAATATTGAAGCGTAGCTTTCAAGCGGTTCAATTTAGCAGGAAATTCTATCCTTACGCACAATTGTGGAGTCTTAGATCCTTCTTTGCTACCCCAAAGCAAAATTAGGGTTTCAGGAAAATAAGATTAAACCTGTTTTTTTTTCTTTATTACACAGATCTCTCAGATGTGCACGGATTACTCTACATATGAACCTATTTACCTCGTTCGCGGTCAACAATGCCCTATGGTTGATTTGGTACAGGTTCATAGTAGCGAACACAGATGTGCTACTTAATAATGACGTATGTATATAAAAAAAGTATAATGGGCTATCGTATAACGTTTATGATAAAAGGAAAATAAAAATAAGAGTTTATTTTACTGTGGAAAAATTGAAAACTCGAGACATTTATTAAAATAACGAGACTAGTTATTATTCTTAGAAAAGAAATCATTTTTTCTTCTTGAACATATAAGTATATACATATATATTATTTTGTTGTTTTTTTTTTGAGAAAAAAAATGTATATGTATCAGCTATTGAATTTAGAAAAATGCGAGAAGAGAAGAAATAAATAGACTGTAAAATATTAATCAACCGTGCGACACTGAAATGTAAAAAAGCACCTTTCAAAGGTTCGTCGAATAATAATGATAGAGAGTTAAAAGTGGTAATCATTTATATTTATAGTCGTTAATAAAAAAAAGTGAGAGAGGATCCACGGGCAACATCATTAGGGAATCGAACTCGCGTTTGAGCTCTCCGATGAGCGCAATTTTATTCCGATTGACTTCGCGAAACGAGCTACGTCAGAGCTTGTTTGGGCGGCTTTGAAAGGGACGTTTATGAGCTGGCTCGTCCTTTGCAGATCCCGTGTCGCGTCCTGCATACGTTCCTTCATTACTTTCTATTAACGAACTACGCCTGGATGCTCTGCGAAGGCTTCTATCTGCACACCCTGCTAGTGAGCGCATTCACCAGCGAGCACAAATTAGTCAATTGGCTGATGGGACTCGGTTGGCCGGTGCCGGCTGTAATCGTCACCCTGTACACAGCATTACGGGCATCCAGCGACGATCCTGCGGACACCGAGCAGTGAGTATCGATTCGTCGCGTGATAACACGGTACGACGAATTTCAATATTTGTTTTCGCACATTTTTGCCGATTTTTCTTTTCAAATTGAAAATACAAACAATACAAAGCGATCTCGCCAGATAGATCTACTTTTTTTTTTAATTGTCAATATCAAAGTGATTCGGCGCCGGTTTTTTGATTGCTTTAAAAATGGAAAATAATTATCGGATTTTGACGTCATATTTTAGAAAGATATTTAAAGATGGAATGTAAGAGGAATATAAATGTCATTTTTTCGTCACCAAGGAGCGCTTTAAAATGTGTTTAAAATGTAAAAATTAAAGGTGAAGCTAACCATCAATTTTTGCATTGGCGAAAAGGTTGCATTTATATTTTTTCTACATTCTATTTTTAAATTCTTTTTCAACAAGGTATCGATGACGTAAATCGAATAATTATTTTTAAAGCAATAAAATCGGCAAATACCACTTTGGGTCTCGAGTTTTCAAAACTGACAAAATTAATCTGATCTAGAGCAATTATTTATGTGGAATTGCTATGCATCATCTGTATTTTCAATTTAAAAAAAATCCAATGCCCAAAAAATTGTATCGCACTATGTAATTGCATCCTTAGAAGAGACACTAATCCTTAGAGGATAACTAGGGACCCAAAAATTTTGTTTCCTTTATCATTTTTGCTTTAATCTTTTCATTGAGCCTGTATAGCTGTGTGAGTGTTTCATAGCATAGAATAAATAAAGTATTTTATGTTACAACAATTATTAACAAAATGGCGAAAATAATGGTATAGTGGAAAAAATCGCACATTTCCGAAAGTAATCCCGCAATCACCTTTAATTCTTGTGAAACATGATAAAAATTTTGTGTGATTGCTGTAAAAATTCAAAAAAAGATTATTCATATTTTATAGAAAAATGTATTCTTATACAAATATGAAATCAATTTTTATAAGAATATATTTTGTTTCCACTAATAATTCACTATTTTGAGCACAAAAATAGAATACATATTTTCATATTTATTGATTATACATAATAAAAGTTCTACTGGAAGATCCTAGTTACCCATATAGTTCTTTTCGTAAATATTTTTCACGCGATCCTCTAAAGTTTAGGCTTATTAAGTTGTTCTGTTACTGTGAATATAAAAAAATTCTGTCGCGCGAAATATAAGCGGGGAAAAAATTAAAATTAGGTCAAAAGTATCAAGTTCGAAAGTACGCGAAAAGGTTGCTTTTATCGCGCATACAAAATAGGCAGAAAAAAATAGGATTACACACTCCCTGTGTATCCTCCTCTATTGCTTTTTATGAAGTTAAAATTAAATTCGTTAACATCTCATTCAAATGCGTAGCTTTCTGCGAACGATTCAAGAGGAAAAGTTATATAGTTGTTACTATTATTTACAATATTATATTAAATTTTTTTTTATTTGTTTACAATGCAATTCGTTAAATGGATTTAATCGTGAAGTTTATTGCAACCTGGAAAAAAGATGGAAATGAAACGATTGATTAAATGACCATTGATTAACATATTTTCAATTAAATGTGCGCGGAAGGGCTGCGTTCTGCGTTTTTAAATTTTTTCAATGCTGAAAAAATTTGCAAACCATTAATTTTTGCGTATCAATAATCTCTCTTCATCTCGGAATTATGCATCTACTAATTTTAATCACGTTCGTATTATAGTACAGTTGAAAGTTTTGTGTTAAATTTAACAGATATCACAAAACGGTTCTAAACGGTCCACAGAAATGTTTGTGTTAATTTAACATAATATTAAATGGAGACACAAACTGTGTTAATATTTTAACACAAAATAAAACTTCAAGTAATTAAAATCAATTTTGTGTAAAATTAACATAGGGATTCAATGTAAAAATTAACTAAAAATATATTGGTTTTAGATTTTATCATCCTTATATTACAAAATCAAAAATACATATTTTTTCTGTAAATTTTAACAGATAAATCTTGTGTCACTAAAAAATAGATGCGCACTGTGTCATTTTTACATCTTTTTTCAGTTGTTTTAATAATTTAACATTCAAGTTTAATTAACACATAAATGTGTTAAATATTTAACACAAAAATTTTAACGGGGACCATTTTTAACAAGAAAACACAAATTTCCTGTGAATCGAAACTAAATAAAAAAGTAGAAAAAACAAAGAAATAAATTTCCAATTACGGTTAAGTAACGTGGCGGGTGTAAAAACTCGGTTTAAGTGCTAATTGTGCCGAATTAAGGTAACACCTTAGATTCCCCTAACGCGTGATGACGCGTTTACAATAAACTACTAGGGCAAAGAGGATGGGAAAAGGATTCCTAAAGAGACTCTTAATTGAAGTATTTGGATTGCCAGTTTGGGAAGACTATTTTATCACGACCGACCACGGAAAGAGGCTAGGTCGACGCTAATTTCTCGGTAAAGACAGCATGCCGGTGATGGTCGGTGGTGGACGATACGTGACGGTAAAATTAGGTATATGTCCGCACTGTAACTAAACTGCCCCGAGGTAGAAGATCGAAACCGCGGTGCGACAATCGCATTACATGCTCCATTACATACGACAGCCGGACGAAAACTATCGATAGGGTGTCCCGGCTTTTTCCCTACAAACTTTAGTAGTGCGTTCTATACGAGCAGAAATAAAAATATATTGAATAAACATGCTTTATTAGAAAGTTATGACAAAATATATATGGTAAATGTGTATAAAAACAATTTCATCTAAAAAAAAATTAATTAATTATACAAAATGAGTATCGGTATTTTTGATTTCACTTATGTATATACTGCGTGTCACTTATTTATATTGGCAAGATTGCTATTATTTTTTCGATACGAACCTTTTGCCATAATTTTTTAATAAAGTATCTTGGAGACCTACTATGTTTATATAATATTTTTTCTTATTTCTGCTCATGGAATATACTACTAAATGTTGTAAAAATTTCTTAAAAATCTGGGACACCCTGTATGCTTGCATACCAAATTTGATGCGAATAAAATACGAGTTCTTTCAATCCACGAAGTGACATCGAACGAAATTGATGCACATTTGTCTGAAATAACTACAGTTGAGATTTACACAGTTGGATGAATAGGTTTCGTTAATTTTACTCGATAACATAATTCACTCGATTAATACAAGATCACATATTGCGACAAAAAAATCATCAAACAAAAGATATATATTGAAAAAGCTGTATTCTTATTTTAAGAATTTTTTTACATATTTTTACCTTGTTCTTAAAATAAACGTTGAAAAGAAAACCCTTTAAAAATTAGTATTATCAAATATTTCTAATTTATAAAAATATAGAAATGGGATTTTTATTTTAATAAAAAAAAAACATTATTTTACACAGGCAAAGAAAGATTATAAAACAAACATTTACATTAATACATATAGACCGAGCACGAGACAAGACCTGGGTTCTGAACGATTAAATTAGATTATATTATATACATATATTATAACTTTATTCGTAAATACTTCTTTTAAATTTTCTCTCAAGTTTTCTTTTTCGAGCCACTTATTAACACTCTATTCATTCTTGTAATAAACTAAAATTATTCAGTGAAAAATACTACGTTGCAACACACTTTATAATATACTGCAACATGATCATATATCAACTGTAAATGTAAAAAAAAAAAAAATATATATATATATACACTCGTTTATCAACAAAGAATATATTCTTAATTTTAAAGGATGTTCTTACATTTAATATCTGTTGAGAGGAATTCTTTATAGCTACAGTCTTTCCTCGATAGGAAAATATTTATAAAATAATATGACGAAATCTGAATGAAAGAATGCTGCAATTATATATGTACAATATTTCAAACAATACATGTAAAAATTTAGACCTTTGAACAAATATATAATATATATAAATTATGCAATAAATTATGCAAATATTTGCATAATTTATTGCTAAATATAGTATTTCGACAAAACAGTAGCGTTATGGTGAATTATGTTGATGAAATATTTGCTAAATTAAATTTGGAAAAAAATTACCAAATAAATGATAAATTATTGAGTTTTATTAATTTTAAAATATTTTATGAAATAAAATGAATAAATATATATGCTTACAAAATTCACAATTATTCTGAAAATATAATTTTGAATGTTATATAAAATATTACACAATCATAATATATACATATAACACAATAATTGTGCATAATTCATACCATAAATTGACTAAATCAATTTTTGGACAAAAATATCATTTAGAAATTTTATTCCGACAAAATCGCTGTGTTGTAAAATTTCTTTCTTTCGCGATACAATTAATATATATAATTGAGCCATTTTCCTATCGGAGTCTTACTTGAAGAATACAGTTTTTTCAGTGATGGGGAGTCGCGTACGTCGGGGAAAAGGTTTTCTATTTACTTTCCGTTATTTTTATTAGACACACCGTAACTCTCGATCACGTAAGTAGGAAAACAGTACACGCACACGAGATCCTGAAGACCCTTTTTATCTAAAAACCTTTCTAAACCTCACGTTCGACGTTTTTACGTGAAACCTCTTTATAGCAGACACGACAGAGGGATCGTCTTACATAACTTACTATGCAGGAACCTTTCCTATCGTAAAAAAAAGAGAGAGAGAGAGAGACTTTTGTGTGTAGTTAGTATATACAGGGTGTCTCATTTTAATGTCCCACGTCAAATATTTTTTTATTTTCGATTGTAGAAGAAAATTGTGTAAACATGTAAACTTAGTTAGAAAATGTTTCAGATAAAAGTTCTTTGGTTTCGAGGGTGATATAAGATGGTATCATTAGTTTGACTTTGAATAGCTGCTTGAAGGTCACGTGAAGGTCACGTGAAGGTCACGTGACTTAAAAAGTTCTTAACGAAAAAATACTTAATATTAGAGGGTTTTAGAAAGCTCTTGATGTAAGCTAGAAAAATATGTAATGAAAAGTATAGTTCCATTAAAAAAATTGAAGGTGACCTT